TTGCTGCACATTTTAAAGTTAACTATAGAATCGAACTAGTTGTCTTTTCAATTTTAAAGTCGACTAGTTGACTTTGAAATTTTAGAGTCAACTAGCTTCATCCTCGTTTACATTAAAATTTTAGAATCGACTAGTTGACTTTCAAATTCTAGAGTCACGTAGCTCCATCCTAGTTGACTTTACAATTTTAAAGACAACTAGTTGATTTTAAAATTCTAGAGTCAACGAGTTGCCTTTTAAAGGCAACTAAATTTTAGAGTCAACCCCTACATATCTATCAATAAAGAAAAGAGCGAACATTATTCTTTCTTTTTTAGATTGTGAAAATTTGACTTTCGTACACTTTGATACACTTTGCTGATTAAAGCAAAGTGTAAACATACATTTTGCTTATTGAAAACAGTGTGTACGGTACATTTTATTTTCGATTTCCATTGGAAACACTGACTCACACCCTATCTAAATCCCTGGATCCAAGTAATTCGATTTTCGTTCTCAAATTATTTAGCGAAAGCTAAATTAGCTTCATCATTGAGAGGTATGAATCTATTTTTTGTTTGGATTTTCGATTGTTACTTTTTTGTTTATGGTTTCGCATTGAAGATATTTGTTAAGAGTTCTATATAGCATTTGCTACCTAACATAAAATTGTGCTAAATCGACTGTACAGTTACGAATAAGTACAACAATTGTAATCTGTGACTATAGCAGAAATTGTCGTTTTTTTTAGATTGATGAGAGAGCTGGATGATTATTTATTAACGCGATGTTTACAGCGCGCATTGTTTTTTTTGAGTTAAGAAAAAAAGATAAAAGTACTTAGAATATATCATTTTGTTTTATAAGCCAGAAAAGACGACCAGAGGACCATACAAATATTGACAAAAAGTGTACTAAAAATATGCACAATTTTAATTTATTAAGAAACATCAATCTTTGTCTTTTTTCTAACTCACCGATGTTGTAAAGGAACAAAATAGAAATTGGTCAATTGAATTGCTGGCCACACTGTATAGTTAGCTTTCATTATACCAGGAAAGTCCTATACCAATAGAAGTGGAACGTTTAAAATTTTTCTGTAGCCTTTACGACTTACACGACAAAGACGTTCTTTTGTTTGCTTAATGGATGCTCCGCCAGTCAACGAGAGATAACTTATAAGAGTAGCATTGATTAACGGTGCAGAGAAAAGCTAAATGAATAAACTTCCATTACGATTATCGATGGCAAGAAGTTTTAAGTTTTAACCTGATCTACGACCATCATTTTCAAAGGTTGTAATGTGGCACCGGCAAAATAACGTTCTAACCCATAAAACCAATATCGAAAAAATGGACCCTAATAGACAACACATGTACACTATTGCTAGACAGAATAAGAATACCTACCACAAAGAAAAGACCAGCCGACGCAAATCTACCAAGTCGAGCCCAATCGAAATCTTTTAATTCTCGTTTTTCGATGAGTGTCTGTGAGATTACATTTCCAAGCGCCATGGTAGTGCCTGCAACATGATAATAGACAGCTCGTACGCAAGCCGACAAGGAACAACGTTTAATATAGATCAGCGAAAAAGATGTATCTGGTGATTGACCAGTTTTTGTTTTCTCTTGTAATCAGCATCAAGCATACAGTTGCAAAAAATTGGGCATCCATTTTATTGATATGAAAAAGGCCATCATTTTTACGGTGACTTGTCTTACACATCAGTGATGGAATCGGTTCGTGTTTTTTTGAAACCGAACGAGTCTAGTTAAAAACTCTCAAAACTCACTATCATATTTTAAAGATATTAGTCTTAAGCTGCCTATACGAAGGAACTTTTTATGCATAATGATATTATGAATGAATCAGATCGCAGCAGATATAGGTAATACAATACTTTTAAGATATTTAAAAACGATTGCAAAATTTGACTTTGATCTAACTCCATATAGAAATTGCTGCTTTAAAAATGATTTTTGTTCTCAAACCAAATTTTCTTATTTACACAATCTTTAATGATTAATAGTTCCTCAATCGTATAACTGAAATCTCGTATTGTTTTGCAGACTTTTATTGATTCATGTAGGTTAGTGCTCATTAAGTTCGATGCTATACATAGAATATTTTACATCAATAGAGAGAATTTTTCACACTGTTTCTATTGAAATTTCAATGTTTTTCCTCCTATGATTTCATAGAAATAGGTATAGTGTTTTAACATTTGTGAATCTCTTTGAATGCATTATGGAAGATTATTCTTTCTAGTTACATACTATCTCTGAAGGGTTTATTGTCGTATCGAAAGTAGAACCTGCTTCTGAATGAATTAGCTTAACATGTATTTTCAACAATGCAAACTATTCGATTATCCGTACCAAAAGACAGTCAACACATAAATCTGAGACAAATAAAATTTTTTATGTTTTCACAGTTCTTAGTTACACTGATTTTCCATATCTTCGTCAACTCTGAAATACGCATCAAGAAATGCACAAATGCAAGGACATGTTGTTACATATCTCAAAATTCAGCGTCATTCATATTAGAAATGATCACCCTCTTTATCACTTTCCCTCGCCACAGTTGAAAAGATATCAACTGTCTAAGTTTTATACAAACGAGAAAGTTTTGTTTAAGGTGGACAGTTAACATTTTTCTAGAGCAAAACATTCTGTATCAAATCAATAGAAAGTCAGATTTGAAAAATATTGTAGAGACATTTGTAGTTAATAGGTTATTGTAATATTGTCTATTACGTTAGAATTAATGAAATAATTTAAAATATGAACTGAAAACATGTTTCAAAAACTTATATTACAACAAAAAACTCAAACACTAGAAGAAATATGCATGGATGACATTATTAAACTTATCTAATAACAAGGATGGAAAAAATAGCAGTGACACACTCAATCGCTATGAGTCACTTTTGTCGTTCTGTTATTACATGATATGGTTCGGTGCTAAAAAAATCATTTTTTTTCTTTCTGTTTCTTCTGTGCACACAAAAATGAATTCTCGTTGACACGGATGACCTTGTATAACAACAGAACAAAAAAAAGTTACTAGATGCCAGTGAATGAATACTATTTTTTCCATCGTCAGTAATTTTGTCCGTTCTTCTGATATAACATTAATAGTAGATATAGAATCGCCTCTCATTTTCTTCAAACCGAACCGATTCTATCTCTGCTACACATCTGTAAGTCAATGGTCTAATATTGCCAATAAGCCACATTGGTCCATCCATGTTGCGTGTAGCCCGGGCAAAGTTACACAAATTAATTGTGTTGCGATCAGAGACGTTATCGGCATGCACGGAAAACTTTGTGGAAGATGCATCTTCCTAGAAAATTTCTGACTATAGGCCCCATACAAAGTGGAAGAGCTAGCGAGCTTCTAGTCATACCTGTAGTTAAACTCATGCCAAGTAGTGGATATCGTATTGCAAAACTGTTGTATTTACGTAATAGCTGTGCCATGTTTCTGAAAGAAAATAGGAAACCATCTTTTTCTGACGAAAAACGAAGAATTAATACAAAGCAGTTTATTGATGCAACGCACACAGTATCCATGGAACATTCAGTAACTACATGGTGTTACCAAAATCCGATCGAAAAGAACTGTGAATATTTATTTAAACATTCAAACGATTTATATAAGGTTTTTATAGTTTCATTCCCTATTGATTGAAGTTTTATTTTACATTAGTTTTGTCTCTAATATATGTACAAAATGATTATTTAAAAATCCAGTACAAAAATCTCTAATTTTTGAAAATATCTGTAATAATATCATGTAAAATTTAGTTTGAAATCTTTTTGATGTTCGTGTGCATTACCATTTTCAACTTACGAGTTTTAGCACACGTCATAAACGCATAGAACTAGTAAATTTATTATAGTCTTAGAAAAGCAATATGTATAGTGTGATGTTAGAAAATCAAGTGTTCGGACACTTTGTTTCTCAATAACAGAATCAATGAAGAGAATATTTTACTATGCTTTAAGTCTCTTATTAGTTCAAAAGTAAGAAGACTATGATAGATGAACTCCATATTATTTCACAAAGACGAAGTTCCCGTGTATTTGAATATCGAAGACTGCCAATTTCTGGAGAATTTTTATTCAAACAAGTGCAAAAGAGGAGGCTATTCATCTCAATGGACATCATGGTTAGCTGAGATGATGCGACTCGACGTATTTTTATAGGAAAATGTAAAAAATAATTTTTATACGGTGCCTGTTAAAATATCTAGTGCAGTTGAAAATGAGAAGCTGTAATAAATCTGAAAATAATTCAAACTAACTTTTGCATGATGCTATTACAGATATTTTCAAAAACTAGAGATTTTTGTATTGGATTTTTAAATAATCATTTTGTACATATATTAGAGACAAAACTAATGTAAAATAAAACTTCAGTCAATAGGAAATGAAACTCTAAAAACCTTATATGAATCGTTTGAATGTTTAAATAAATGTTCACGGTTCTTTTCGATCGGATTTTTGGAACACCCCGTAGTTAAAAAATATTTGTGTACAATGAATAGATGAAAAGTTACTATTGCAGATCACTTTAAGCATACATTCGACTGTGTCGGGTTAAAGCGTACAAATACAGATAAAATGAAACATGCAAAACACACAATGAATCATTATCGTACTCAACAAGAAATGACTCATCCACCGACATCGCTATTGGTGGCAAGCTCAACGATTCAGCCAAACACCCTAGAATATCACGTTTTAAAGGTACAAAGAAATGAAATATTTATTCTAAATACCACTCTTGAAAGTTTTGGAAAAGTTTTATTTTCAACTGGAACTGGAGAGGTAGGCATTGGTCGAGTGATTATTCATTGACAGTTATTTGGTCGAAAGATATTTTGTGGAAAATTACTAAAATAGTAGCATTTACTCTTTATTCTTTTACAGTCAGTATATATCAACATGTAAAAAAAACTCAAGTGAAAAATCTTCGATTGCTGTATATGATAATGTTAAACGTTGTAAATAAGTATAGTTTGACATTAGATGTAAACTATCATATTTTTAATTTATATTATAACTAAAATCAATTGATTTTAAGCGATCATAAATATTTAGATGTATATAATCAATCCTATCAATTGTTCGTATTGGAATATTTTTAAGACTAATACTAAATTAAAAATCTTGTGTTGATATTGAATCAATTAAATGTTAAATCTCGAATGCATTTTATATATGGATTAAATAATTTTAATGAATTAATATTTGTTTCTGTTAAATCAAGTATTAAATTATTATGAAATTATGAACAATAGAAAAGAAATTTTTCACATTCTTTCATTGAACTTTGGTTACAATGGCGACATAAAAATGTTTCTAAACGTGAGAACAATTTTATACTAAATAATTCTTTAATAGATGTTGATCAAAGATCAAGAAATCTAAGTGATTGAAATTAATTCATTTTATTTAATGATTATTTTTAATGCATTAAAAGATAAAATTAAACTTTCAATTCTATTTAAACTTTTTCCAGTTAAATTATCAATTGATTGAAGTTGATTATATGATAAATTAAGACATTTTAAAACAGAAAAATATTTTTCATTAAAATAGAAGTTGGTTTTCTATAGTAAATTGATTATATGATAAATAAAGTTTAATTAATTGTTGAAAATAAGATGAATTTAATGGAAACCATTGTAAACCTTTTTCATCCTGAATTTCAAGGGAATGAAGAAGGCGAAAATAATTTTTGTCATTTTCATTATATGATAACGATGAAAATGTATTACTAATTAATGATACATATTCAACATTTGAACCAACATGGATAAATAAATTATTTAGTGATAATTGGAGATATGAATCACAGATTCGTACATCATGATTTTGAAATGTATAGGTTAAATCATAAAATAAAGGAATTCGATCAATGAAAGTTGTATTCGAGCAAGAAAATAATGATGTTCGATCATCAATACATCGTGCAGGTATTTCATTCAAAAATGAACATTTAGTTTTTTGGATTAATATTAGAAAGAATAAGAATAGAATTTATTCTTTCATTCTTTTTTAAATTATTTTATCCAACCATAAGCTTAAAAAGAAAACTGATAAGAAAGAAAGATAGAAAAAACTACTTAACTCTTTTTTTATACTTTTATTCTGTTCTTTTAAACGATTATTGACAAATGACATTCATTTGTTTACATCGCTATTTCCTTAATTTGGTAGACTTATTGTTTCCGATTTTTCTTTAAGGCGACCCCCTCCTTTTCGGTACTTCTAGAGAACAGCTCATCAAGAAAATTTTGAAAGTTCCAGAGTAGATCGATCACGAGGAATAGAGCAAAAGTCGACATAGACTCGAAATTCCCTGATGCTTCCATGTGAGTGTGGGTGTGGGTGGCTGTGGGTGTCGATGAGGGTATGCATGAGTGTTCGTGGGTATAGATGTGGATGCAGTTGGGTGTGTGAGGGTGTGGGTGGGTGTCGGTAGGTGTGGGTGTGGGTGT